CGAGCATTTCTCTGGCAAAACAAATGAGGAATACCACTAGGAAAAAAAGTATAGCTTCTAACAATGAAGAGTGACCAGATATTTCAAATTAAAAAAAATAGAAGATCTTTTTTTTAACGCACCAATTTATTAGCCTAGTCTCGTATTCATCATACTAACATTTTCCCCACTAGGATTCGCATCGGGACCTCTGAGTAAGCAACACCTTGAAACCCAGCCGCCGTACATACCACGAAGGTCGTCTAGTCAGTTTTGTACAATAAACACAGAACTAATTTTTGAGAAAATTGTAGATAATATAGATATCTATCAACTCGTAAATTTTTGGGACCCTTGAGATGACCAGTAAATTCTATGAGAAGCCTCCACTGCTTGTCCATCCGTTCAAGTATCGATCTGTACAGGCAGTGTACTGTATCTGATGAGCCATAAATTTCACTCAGAAAATACTTCTAACCTACAAGGATGTTAAAGTTAGACTTTTTGTGGGTAAGAAGGTAGTAGCAGTCACGCCCGCGCCGTAGCAGACAGTTGGAAACTACATTTCGTAGTCAGATTTCGGAGTTAGTTGCGCCGCACTGGGCAGCTTCTAAAGGATAATGTGTCCGCTACAACATTTAAAGTTTAAAACAAAATCAGTCTTCTCTCTGCGTCAGCCTCTGTGTATTTACAACTTAGTAATTCTATTCGTTGCTCATGTGCCATCGCTTCGTCCCCTTTCCAGTATGTGGGATCGTCTCTGGGGAAGCCTGTTATTCTGCGATAAAGGATCTTGTCCAGTTTTGACAGCGGTATTCCGTTTGTAACAGTTACAAATACCTACTAGCTTATATACCAATATATATATATATATATATTCACTGCATAAATGCGAAAAAATATCCTTTACCCTTATCCACGTCTGTGAGGCGTACACGCAATCGAAACTTTATTATTTACCTCTTTAACTGGCGATATTATAAGAAAATAAGTGGCCTTTTATTAATCTAAATAAATTTGTTTTAGTAGAAAAAATGCTACGTAGTCCACGCATCAAAAGAGATTAAAGCATTTTGCTTTTCAAACAAATCAGTTGCCGTAGTGTGCTTTCACATGTTGTCTATGCCACTAATGGCTCAATTACACTTGGTCGTCAGCTCGTATTTGGGTGCACGAAAGACATTACTCGAATTCGGGCACCGGAATCAATATTTACACTGGAATACGGGCTGGAAGACGGTGTCGGGTAAACAAAACAAAAAGTTCCCGTATATGGGCGTACCTACTCGACTGCGTTCATTTACACTAAGACGTTTATCCGAATTCCATTGGCACTCGTATTCAGGCTAGCAACCACATGTAATCGCGCCATAAAGTAAGTAGAGCCTTTTTGACATATTGTTGGAAGTAAGTTGACAGTACTTTAGAATATTTTATTTGTCATTTTAATTACCATGAAATGCACTTTCACTTTTAGGAGCTCGTTGGCGCTGGTGGTTAGCGCGTTTGGCTGTGGTCGTTAAAGTTAAGCAACTTTCGCAGTGGTCGGTCATTGGATGGGTGACCAAAAATCTTCTTACTCGAGTTGCTCCGTGCTTCGGAAGCCACGCTAAGTTCCGTTGGTTCCGGCTGCTTTTGCAGTCGTTAGCACCGGCCTAACCGCACTGGGCCTGCGTGGTGGGTCATGGCCCAGTCTCCCATAGGGAAGGCCGGTGCCCCAGCAGTGGGGTCATTAATAGGCTTATGATGTACTTTCAGAAGATATAGTTTTGATAATTGTTTCATACTCTTTGAGAAAGTCGAAATAGAGCGCCAATGTACTAGTTGGTGCTTCGGTTTATTTTCTGTCGCAATGTAGATCAATTATTATCTTTTCATCCCACCACCTCGGAAAGTGTAATTTTGCGCTTCGAAATCTGGCTGGAAAATTCTATTTTATTCGCTTGAGCGGCAAAGTAGATTTGAATTTAGAACATCACATATAATGAGTACTCAATATAATTGTAAATTCAAAACGTCATTAAACCTATTTAATGTAACCTCTATGGTGCCAAATTTATGATTAGAACTTTTTAAATTGTGAAAAAATTTAAATTTGGAACCTTCTTGGTTTCTTTGTTTTATTTGCGTGCTTCGCGCCATTCTAGTTTTTCACGTTTTATTGCTTAAATATTTTGTCATTATAAATTGTTTTCTTTTTCATTTTGTCATTTCCTCGCTGAGGTGGGATGAAAAGTTACGTATTGCACTCGAGTGGAAAGATTTTTCACCTTGTGCTCGTTTGTTTCCCTCGCTGACGCTCAGGATTCTAATTTAGAATCACTCGCTGCGCTCGTGATTCAACTTTAGAATCCTTCGCTTGCTCGGTCATCCAAATCGAGCACGCGGTTAAAAAGGAACTTTCCACTCTTGTATAATAAATAACTATTACCGCCTTAAGCAAGCAACAGGTAACCAAGCCTCTACTATCTAATATAGCCTACATACCATCATTTACCACCCTTTTATATTAAAAAGAAATATTTCGAACCTACAATGACGTCGCGTCGTCTTCTTCGCAGTCTTGTGAAAGTATATAATAAGTATACATACACTGAATGGGTTGGCAGTCTTGTGCGAACAACAGGCCAGTCGTCGCGGAATGAGGCGTACGATTCTCGCATCTGACCCAATGGGGCGGATTGCATACTTCATTTCACACGTTCATTGACTGAATGCTTTCTGCCGAGAAACTCGACGAGCATGCTACATTTGCTCTTGCTTTAGTTTCGAAGTAATGTCGAAACGAGTACCTACCTACCTACTCAGAAGTAATAAATTATTTTTCCAGCAAGGGGCTTTAATAAAGTGAAACTTCTTTTCGGACGGGGTGTAAATGGAAAAGATGAAATGGCAATGCGTCACGAGCGTCACACGACTATCTATATGTATGTGTGTGTGTACGTGTGTGTGTGTGTCTGTGTGTGTGTGTGTGTGTGTCTGTGTGTGTGTGTGTGTGTGTGTGTGTGTGGGATGCGTGCGCAGCTCTTCCCGCCGAGCATGAAAGTTGGAGTAACTCGGCGAAGGCTGAAACGCTACGAGCGTCACACGCGACAAAATATATGTATGAATAAACCATGCGCTGTTCTATTCCCCTATGCCTTATGCACCGCACCTAAAATACGGTTATTAAAGTTTTCTTTTCTTAAAAAGAAGTTTCACTTCAGATGTGTTCAAAAAATTAATGTGCAATAACTTTTTTTCTTTTGTCAATCAACCAAAAATTTACAAAGATAAAGTGCGTAAAAGTTTGGAAGTGGGGGCTCGTGACGGTACTCCAAGTACCAATTTTACCAAAAAATTGCGTCCTGTGACATTTCAAATCAATAATAATCTCGGTTAATATTTTGACTGAGTGAAAAAAGAAAAAATACATGTCCTATACTTTTTGATAATCAACCTAATAGATGAAGAAAAAAAGTTGGTCATCATCCCTATTAGATAACAGTTGCATTATCAACCAGGAGCTTTACTCTCTTTTTCCGAAACGAAATTTCGGAAACGCACAAATTTCAAACGTCAACTGCGATCTACTCTATTTCATTTTCGAACACGCATATAAAAGTTCGGAATTAGAAACAATTTTCGTGAACGAATGGAATGACCCATGTTTGTGACTTCTTTTTATCTCCACTTTTTAGATTACGTTTTTTACTTGAAAACAATATTACTTTAAGACAAAATGTTTGATGACATTGGAAGAACCTTCTTTGACAGTATTATGTGATTTGTAAAGTTGATACAATCGAATGTATGTCCAACCTAATCGTATTGGAAATACAATAAATAATAAAAAAAATGGTTCCTTTACATGCTAAGAAATATTCCTAAGCAGCCTCGATTAAAAATACTGTAGCAGTAATTTTAGGCTTAATTAAAAAAAATTCAAAACGAAAATGAAAAGGTAACTTTTCATTTCATCAATTTGAGGTTAAAATTTCAAACATTATCTGTAAAATTTAACTTTTCGTTCGAAAGTGATGTGAATTCCTGGAGAATTTAATTGTCAAACTCTTTTCGGACGAACGTATTTTTGAAATGAAAAAGAAACAGAGTAAAGAGCGTGCGAAATTTTTACCGAAATTTCGTTTTTCGTTGAAATAGCCCTGCAGCAAATTAGGATATTCGGATATCCAGATAATCAAGTCTATACTCAACGAAGTAATAAGTATTTCTAGTCTAATAAAAATGCGAAAATCTTTATCCATAAAACTAATTCAAATCAAAACCAATATCCTGTTCATTCTGATCCAAGACTATTTAAGATGACCTAACATATAAAATAGTTTACTTGAAATATCGCAAGTATATTCTCATACCAATCACGTTTTTATTTGAACACTAGCTGGCAGTGTTGACACGAGAATGAAAGATCGCACCCATTCATCAACAAGAGTAAAGAGCTGACAATCTTCAAATGGCTGGGCTGGACAAGATTTCTACTTTCACACACTCAAAAAGAGTGTATATGCTGTTGGTCGCAGATAACCTTAACAGCGTCACCGGTTTTGGGAACGGCGAGATCCTAGGGGGACCTCAAGCCGAGAATTGGCGAGTGCCTCAAGAGGTATTCCAGACGGATGACATCTCCCCACGGGGGGAGTCTCCTCTCCGTCTGGAGCCTCTAGACAACTCGAACCTGTTTCCAGTATCATAGCTTAAATACCTTTAACACTTTCGGCCAAACAGTCCACACTCACACACTTTCGCCTTTATAATATTAGTGTGATAATACGTAGCCTATGTGTTAATCAAGGGTGTCAGCTAACTCCATAGCAAATTTTATTAAAATCGCTCCACCCGTTTAGACTTGAAGAACTAGCAAACATGCACACTCACACACTCACAAACTTTCGCCTTTATAATAATAGTGTAATAACCCGCTGAGCCCGCTGAAGCTACTCTTTGCTTTGGGGCCGAAACTATAAAAAATGTGACCAGTTATAATGACAAAGTAAGATAAGATGACGCTGAGCACTCACCGTTTCCTGTATTTGTATATGATGAGCACGATGAACGCATTCCCGATGAATAGGGCCGCTATCAGTAGCGACGGAATCACAATATCTGCCAACAATACAGTTAGTTACAAATTGAAAAACAAACAAGAATAATAGCCCATCTAATGATAAGCAAAAAGAAGAAAGGTAGGGCATTGCGGATTTCACGACCGCCCCACTCGTCTGGGGAAGTAAGCTCCACCTTACAGAAGATCACAATAAAATAACACTAATCTTACAGTTGTGTTAAGATTCTGTCGATGAGTAAGGTTTCAGGGCATCACGGGGTAGGGTATTGCCAATACCGTACGAAAGCGCGGTGCGAAGTGATATTTTTGATCTAACATGCGTTTAAGGATATGGTGGCCGCTTACCATCAGGTGGGCCATACGCTTACCAACCTTTTAGCATAAAAAAGGGACCACCATAGACTATAGACGCTTGCGATACCAACAAGAGTATCACTCGCACGTTGCCTGCCCTGGCCCCGTCTTTCTGCGAACCCCTCGAAACCACAGACCACAGAAAGAGTTGGAAACCCTATCGCCGACAGAAACACAACACCACTAAATGGTGCTATTATTTCGCTGTCTTTCGAATGTTGTTTTTTAGGGAGCGGTGCGTCCTAGTCTGGAGCTTTTAATTTTGGGAAATACCTGTGTCTTTTAATCGAGCCGAAAATCAGCTTTGCCGCTCAAGGGAATAATGTACACGAAGCAAAAGTCGTAATAAAAAGAGATAGCTAAAAGGATACCGTCAGTTAATAAATTGGGCCTCTATTAAAATCTCGTAATATAGAATGCCAATTAAAAACTAAGTGTTTATAACAGTCGAATACTTTTTAATTCTTAATACTAAACAAGAAAGCAAAACCAAAGTACTTTTACGTGTCGGAATGGGGTTCGAAATTATATGCCAGTTCACACTTGACAGTTCTTTATTGCACAGTCCACACAGTTAACACACAATGATAATCACAAAACGCTCATTTAACACCGAAATTTACTATAAGTCTTTAAACAATTGCACTTCAACATTTTACTTGCACTTTGATCGCCTTTGTATTCGTTCCGAAATCGCTGTTGCAACTCAACTGTTATCGCCGTTATGGCCTAGAAAGTAAAACTGTCTGCTGCGCGGCGCTGATCGCGCTTATATACGCCAATCGACGCATTCTAGAAAAGTCCCGTTACATTGAGGGTTAACTAGCACCAGCGAGTGCATAGCATATACTTTATACGTAGGTAACACGCATAAGTTGTAAACAAGTGCAGATGTCGTTGCACTTTCTCCCTTGCGCCGCGCTGCATAAGGCTCATAATAGAATGAGCGACCCGCGGTGTTCTAGTAAAACTTGTCCCCAGTATTTTCGCGGTTTTGTTTCGAGGTCGTTTGTAACAGTACTATTATTTCAAATGGCCAATAAATTAAAAGTTTTGCTGCCGTTCCTGTGCATATTACTAGAAATCTAAAAATCATAACGTGTATTCAAACCTATTTCCATAGCTATTAACTGAGGCTATTAATTCATTTTCAGTCATTTGTTCCATGTTCCACCTTATCTTTGACGTATCAACGACGCACGCCTGACGGTTACGCATTAGGGAAAACCCTAATGGATGCCCTTACTGTGCGTAGGTACAACAGACACAGTATTTCACCAAAGGTACGCCATCTAATTGGGTTACCATATAATGCCATCTTTACTTAACATCAACTAGTAAGCTTCAATCCTCAACTTTGAACTCAACGTTGTCACGTTACAATCTCGGAAACTTAATCTTTTTATATATCATTCCTTTTTATGATAAAATTCTCTAAATCTAACCTAAATTTGACAATACTATAAATCGATTAGCTTTATCATTTGCTGTAACTTATCCAAAAGGAGGAGAAAAAATGAAGCAACTTCACTAAAACCGATTTCTGTGTTGTTTGTATTGGAGAGGCAGATTTTGAGGTATTTAAAAACAATGTCTCACTGGTGCGCTATATCCGTGATGTATTACAAAAAATTTCCTCACAAACGAACATCATAATATGTGCGCCCATATATAGATGTAGAAGTGTACTACATAATTGCCGCGTGGAGAACTTTAATAACTCACTGTGCTTAGATATGCATACTACTATGGTATTCTGTATGACAGTAATCGGAACTCTAACTCTGATATGTTCTCAGCACACACAGGAAAAATCAACAACTATGGACTAAATCAAATATTGTATGAATTAAAGGAATAAATAATAGGCATTACATCATACGAAATGAATTTGGCTAGGGATAACAATATAAATAGCGTTCGAACTTCGAATTAAGTATCCCTCAGCTGCACATACTTTATCGTTTTCCACAGACTCTTTTAGTTTGTCAAATTACCGTCAGTCAAGCTATCGTCTAATCGAATTCGTTAAGACAGAACTAATTCAAATTTCGAACGGTAATTAACGAATTTAATATCAAAGCCATCCGAAGCTTCGTCGCGCAAGTGTGGGAGAAGTATGATGACAACGTTTACCGTTTCCAAAGACGTCATACGTAAGCTAATTCTAGCTAATTACCGCTCGCATTAATTTGTGCAGTTCTACCTCCATTTCAATGGGGGAGAAACTACCGTAAGTCGCTTCCAACTGAAACCGTAAATGGCGAGGAGTCGCAACAAGCTAAAACCGCACTGGAAAGCGCCAACTTACCAGGGGTAAGTACTATGTATTGCTATTGTTCACTGCACATTGAACGGAGTGTTCGTATAGAAGTTTCAACAAAGTTTAAGTTGTGACTGACGCTGAGTTAGCGCTTTGCCAATTAAAGGGTTTCGTTTTCACTATAAACGTACTAATGGCAGAAATTAGCATAGTTTCATGAATAGTTTGAATGTTTCCCCTGGTGGAATAGCAAAGCTTTAACTGTACACGAAAAGACAAAAGAAACAAGAGAAGAAATCAAATAAGATTAGGACTGTAGTCGTCAGTCGAGGGTGTTCGATAAATAATTCACCAACAATAAGTTTGTATGTAACGACCCGAAAACTTGGCATCGATTCGAGGTTAAGTTCAATAAATGTAAAAAAACGCTCAAGGTTCTATTTACTAAACTTAGTACTACTTTCCAACGTTTTGTCTAATTTAATTGCTAATAATATCAAAGAAAGTAACCAACATCAATTTTAAATCAAACTTTAGAACCTAACTTTCGCCTCTGAATATGGCCTTCAGAAAATTCAACAAACCAAACATTCGTCTGTGAAATTTCGTAGTATGAAAATAATTTAATAAATATATAAGTGGGTCACGTGAAATGCTGATGTTGCGTAATATTATTGTGTGTTATATTTTATAAGTGTGTGCATGTGTGTGTGTGTGTGTGTGTGTGTGTGTGCGCGCGTGCGCGCGTGAGTGCGTGCGGACGTGCGTGTGAGCGTGCGTGCGGGCGTGCGTACGTCCGTGCGTGTGTGTGTGTGTGTAACGACGTAGTGCACCAATATTATAAATAAGTATGTTTTGTAACATAAGGGGTTCTTCAATAAAGCGACATCAACCTATCTAAGTCTTTGATTTTTTATAACATACTGCCATCACCCAGCATACCACACGTCCAACAACAGTTTACCTTATTGCGTACCTTCTTTTTTACGTTGTTTATAAACTTTGTGCGGGACGAAATTTTCAATTCGTGAAAGACCTTGTGGCTCGTTTATTTATGTTTGTTCAGCCCTAAATAAACATATGGAGATAAATAAAGCCACGCCGCCGGCTTATGTTCCAATGCTGCTATTGACAATTGTTTGTATATTGTATGATCTGCACGACACAAAAATCAATGATGATTCACTTATTGAATTTATTTTCAAATAAAAATTTAATAAAGTTTAGAATTTGATTATCATACGTAGATATTTACGGGTATAAAATTTAAGAATAGTTACAACATTTCAGTTGTGTTCCTGTCTGTAAGTTACCAGGGCTTCATGGGGTAAGGATGGAATCAAGGTATGCAATGTCTGGCATTTTCTAATACTGACCGACTATCATGTCTGGTTGCTCGTGGGGCGGCAGTTTTGCGTCCTCGACCCTGGTCACCGGCGCTGAATCGTTCCAGACGGCCTTCACCGCCTCAGCTGGAAAATAAAAACAGTTGAATGACACTTGAACTTTAATAAATAAATAAATATTTCCAACACACCAATTAGCCTAGCCCCAAAGTAAGCACTATAAGGCTTGTGTTATGGGATACTAGGATATATAAGTATATTTTTATAGAAATACATGCTCGTATTCATCACACAAACATCTGCCCCCACCGGGATTTGAACCCGGGACCTCTCGAGTCAGCGACACCATGAAACCCGGAGTACAAACCACACGGCCACGGAGGTCGTCGTTACACCAAACACAATTACATACACATAACAAAACAAATGATAAGGCTTTTACAATTAACATAAATTATAAAAGTTCGTAATAAATGATTGGCGGATACGCAGGAACAGCTTGATAATAAAGACTAGCTAAGGGCCCCAAACGGAAACGGATACTCAAACACTACAAAAATTAATATTAATCGCTATAGCGTGCAGACCTTATGCCTCTATTTCCGTATGGGCATTCTACGGGCATTGTCTGTGCGCGAAAGTTCTGTAATACAGTTAGTACCACTGTCATCTAATAGATGGATCCGTCAGATCACTTTAAAAATTATTACTTAGTAAAAATTTAAAACTGAAAATTTAACACTGACGAGTATTAAATATTTTCCTATTTTTACATATTGTTATGGTTTAATCGTTTAATATCCTCGGAAGAAACTAGGGCAAAGATCATAGACATAATGACTTTCAAAATATTTGTACTATCGGAAGTATCCTATTTGGACAAAGAAACTTTTGACTTCGAACTGTAGAAGACATCTTCTGCGACAGAAACCTTTAAAAAGTTAGGATACTGTTTCAAATAAAATTGAAAGGTAGAATTAGAATCAACGTTTGCCACCATATATAAATGACGTTAACTTTTCGACATTCGTGATAGCTCATAACAAGCGCACCCAGCCAGATTTATGAGTTTTACTATTATTCAGATCGACATTTAGTCAGAGAGGAAACAAAACTAATACAACAAGGAAATCGAGTCTTCTTGTACTAATTATTATTAATTAGTTGATAATAGAAGAGCTCGATGGTGCTTTCTTTTTGACTTCGATGGTAACTTTCGCTGTGGTCGGTCATTGGATGGGTGACCAAAAATCTTCTATCTCGAGTTCCTCCGTGCTTCGGAAGGCACGTTAAACTGTTGATTTCGGCTGCATCTGCAGTCGTTAGCACCCGGCAATCCGCACTGGGCCCGCGTGGTGGGTCATGGCCCAATCTGCCTATTCCATCGATAAGGAAGGCCTGTGCCCCAGCAGTGGGACATTAATAGGCTGATTGTGATGAGTTGTTAATAACGTTCTAATTCTTTTTCAAATGTCAGTCAATCCTAGGCCTGGAAGCTAAATAAAGTAATACTTTCGTACTTAAAATATTAGTGCTATCAGCCAATTTGATTTCTGACCCACCAATTTTCTTACAACCATTGCATAATAATAAGGCACAATTTTGCTTACAGTTTGTATCTCTGGAAACAAACTTGTTATTTTATGAACAATCATACTGACGTGACAGATTTTGCCACCTCATTGTGTCATAAATTTGACGTAACATTATTATTTGTTTGGAGTATTGGAACTTGGACAAAGAATCTCGCTATGTAGTTTTGCCCACAGACTAAGGATTTCCGTATTAGTTTAGAGTTTGTGCGGAAAGAGAATGGGATTTAGATTGGAGGGCGCTGTAGTGCTTTTCTATTTGTAAGGTTTTACCCCTTTTAGACATGATTCAATACAAAAAAGCCGCAAGAAATCACAACAGCAAACAAATCCGTATCAATACAAATCTTTGAAGTTTTACAGATTGCTGGGTTTGATTGCAAATAAAAATCTTAATGTTAGTTCCGTTTTTCGCCACGCCCATTCTCTTTCCACACTGACTCTACCAAGATTTTTCTTAATGTCAAGAAAGCGAAAGAGTTCCTGTAATCAATTTCAAAATTACCTTAATTATTATCAATTGCATTGAAAATAAAGGTAAATTTCAAAGACCTATTTTCCATATTAATACAATTTAATTGTTAGTAGAAGGTTACAAGGAAAACTTGTGATTAGACATTTTTAGCAAATCATCGGGCAAGTGGATCAGGACTAAATTTGTTCCATTGTACCTATGACGACCTCCGTGGCCGAGTGGTTTGTACGCCGGGTTTCATGGCGTCGCCGACTCGAGAGGTCCCGGGTTCGAATCCCGGTGGGGGCAGATGTTTGTGTGATGAACACGAGCATTTGGTCTCCGGTCATGGATGTTTAAATATGTATTTATATATAAACATAATTATATATTTAAGGTATATGTATTCTATCCGTTACCCTAGTATCCCATAACACAAGCCTTATAGTGCTTACTTTGTGGCTAGGCTAATTGGTGTGAGTGTTGGAAATATTTATTTATTTATGAATTAATTGCTCCACAGCCACGGCACGTGTTAAAAGTTAAAACATCACACCCTTAAACAACTAAGCACCTCGTAACTTATCATCACCCATCATTATAACATCAAAGTTGTAGAAAGTTATCAAGATACGAAGATGAGAGTTCTAAGAGCTCCCTTACAGATTATAGCCCGAAACACTTAAGCATCTGGGATTTCGCTGAACGTAATAATAATTTAAACAATACACAACGTCTAATTTATACACATAAACATTGTTTACGGCTGATTAAGAAGTTTTGTTTCCAGTTCGTAGTATAGAATTTTGAATTTAGGTCGGCTACCTAATTGGTTGGAAGATTATTATTATATTAACCTATTTTCTGGGAGATTCCTTGCTAATATCAGCACGTGTAATTGAGAAAAACTTAATATATAGGTATAGTAACCTATTGTTGGCACTTCTACACTATTTAAAAAAAATGTTAGAGTCTGTGCGGAAAGAGAATGGGATTTAGATTGGAGGGCGCTGTAGTGCTTTTCTACCGTATTTATAAGGTTTTACCTTTTTTAGACATGATTAAATACAAAAAACCGCAAGAAATCACAACAACAAACAAATCCGTATCAATACAAAACTTTTACGTTTTACAGATTGCTGGGTTTGATTGCCAAATAAAAATCTTAATGTTAGTTCCGTTTTTCGCCACGACCATTCTCTTTCCGCACAGACTCTAGTCAAGCAATAAAATTAATAGTGTTTCAAAAATAAAAAAACTGTAGTTAATTTAGTTTTTTATATTGAAAAATATTGAACTGTGAGATACTCTAAGGAGGTACCAAACTTTCTTTGACAGTACAATAATTATCCAAGTGAGGCTGTGGTGCAACTGACACTTAGAGTTATGTACAAATTGACAAAATAAGCATCTCTTATCTATTAGACAAGTCCGTCCGTCTGTCTGTCTGTGGTGCTGTTTCAAACCGTAAGAGATAGATAAAGGGAATATTTAAGTTATAAGTTAAGAATAGTCTGATAAGACTACAAACCGGATTTGAGTAACGTAGCACTTCCGGTTTTCGAGAAATCACGAATTTCAAACGAAACCACACAAAATCTCCGAAGTTCTCAATTAATTAAATACATTTTTTTTTTTATATCAGGTTTTGGTGAACATTTGGTTCACTGGTTTGCTAGTTTTATATAAAAGTTTTCAATTCATATTCAAGCAAATAAGTTTTATGTTTATTTCTTATGTTTCCACGCACACCGCTCATTAAATTAACTTACTTTTTAAGTATAATATTTATAAAGTATTATAAAACCCGTTCAAAATTTTGTCGGAAAAGACAAAACGAAGTTTAATAAAAAATGTACTTTGTTCATTTCATCATCAATTCGGTTTGGTAGTTTACCCGCTAATACATGGACTACTAACATCAATCTTCCCTTCTAGTTTTGCCGTAGGCGGAAAAAAATAATCTTTATAAGAAAAAAACAAATTACTCAGCTATGTGCATCGTAGTATATCCTTTAGCCACATCCCACGCAGTCCTTGAACGCAATTTAATAACGCTTTCTAGTTATTCGTGTATCTTTAATTTATTGGACTCGATAGAATGAATAAAGAACATTGCCTTTCGTGGGCCGATGGTTTTTAACGACAGGGACATATATATTATGTATATGGAACATACCAAATAGTAGGTAGCCCTTAATGTCGCCATGGATCCCAAGGGTTCTCTTCTCGCTGTAAATACGTTTATTTACTTACAAGAATAAAAACAAAACGTCTTAGTATCTACTTCGATAGTAAAGGCTTTTCGCTGAGAAGACTTGAATAAATGTGTTTTTTTTTTCATGGTAATTTGAGTTTTCTGGTAACGTTTTTTTTTATCTCTCTGTATATTTCAGTAAGAAATAAAGTTCAAGCCTAGGTGCACCGTTTAATTCAACATCTGTCCATACTATTATTATCTTTTTGACAGATCGGCGCCAATGAAATTTTGTATTGTTTACGTTAAAATGTGTTACAAATAATATTGTACTTCATGGACGGGTACCACCCACTTAGTGATGTGCCACACATAATGATTACTAAGATTGTGCCACAGATAACAAATAATCGGTAGAAATAAATGAGTACAACCAAATTGTAAGGTAGAAACCAAGTAATTAAAATTTTATCACTATAAAAAGTTCATTATATAAATGTCTTCTTAGTTTATTTTTAATTTATTCAGACGAATCAGATTCTTCATACAAACTCATCATTAATATTAAGACAGACTATAATATTAAAATACATACTTCATTTTACAAGAAAACTGTATGGCTATATAATATAAAATAAGGACTATAATTAATTGAGAGCGAAAATAATGAGCCGAGTAAATAGTTAAAATAACAGAATCAACCGCTGAAGTTTAAACTTCAGACAATACCAGCAAATTCAAGTGTCAGAGCTTTGTTTGTCATAAAGCGTTTAACATACTAAGAGTGAATAATGAAATAAAATATCAATAGATCTTTATTTAACATATTTGAAACCTCTGACGGACACCACCTCAGTCGACTGTAAACAACAGGTTCACCTCA